TGTAAATCTTTGATATTTCAAACTTAGCTTATTTGAGGTAAAAGCATTGATAGTTTGAAATATCTGATATTTTCGACATAGGGTTGCTAAGATAAAGGGAACAGAAAATAAGTTGTTTTTAAACTACTGGTAAAACCATTTCCTTTAAAACATTATCATCAAAACATAATCTTGTCAAACTTTCGTCTTCCTCTTTCACAGTTTTATGGGTCCCACTGTACAGTAATATTTCATTGTAAATAGTTGTTCTTTATATGAGAAAGGGGGGAAAGTGCCGAGGAGGGGGGGGGGGTCCGTTAAATATTTAATGAAGCATCACACATAAACTGTAAATTATAAATCTCACTATAGAGAAGTTTAAACAACTATTAGCAGTGTCTGATTATAGACCAGTATGGTCTGCTAACAGAATAATAACAATATATAGAGATTTATCCACACTCTAATCATGATATATAGTGTAATGATAGGAATATATACTGATGCTGCATTGTCATTATAGGAGACTGAAATTTCAGCTCACAAAAATGTTGTAAAACCAGCAAAAACATTTAAAGTACCAGTGTTTAGAACTGAAGAGGAAATCATTGAATGGATCTAAATAAATCAAAAAATTGAAAAAATGTGTTTGACTGAAATGTCTGACTCATGTTTAAAACTATTTAGATTAAGCTGGCATTATTTAGTGACATACACAGCACGCGACCAATGTATGATATCATAGTGGTATGTTAAGATATAATCTAAACTAGGCCTCTCCGAAATTAATCAAAAAATTAAAATTATTTCGATAAAGTTTCTCTTTAACATCACGTTTGTAGTTTTATCTAAAACCTGTTTCGAAAAAAATTATTTTCGATTTTTCGTTTCGAAATTTGATTTCGAATCAAGCCTAGAATCCATGCATACAGAGCACAACTTCGAAACAATAGCGGGAGATAATTCCTAGATGATAAATAGATGAAACAAGACCACACACACACATAGACAGATATGCAGGACAAGGGAGAGAGCGAGGACAGGTTTTTTAAACATCAGGACAAGGACAATAATCAAACCTTAACGTCGTATTTGCGAACCAACAAAGGGTGAAATTAACTATTTCATCGAAAAGGTCAAATCCTTTTTGCACCAGCAAAAACATATGAAGTACCAAATTAAAATTGCAATATTTATAAAAGAGAAAAAATGAAAAATCAAATCAATACTCATTCAGTAATAATCAACGAAAACTTAAAAACGTGGATCAAAATTTTTATCAAAAAAAGTGCCCTGTGAGGCTGTAATAAACGATATTATGCATGATATAAGTAATATCAAATGATGCAATAGAGATAAAAAGAATTAACACCAAAAAGTATAAAAACCACCATTTTATTGTACTGTCAGCGTACTGCAAGCGTATTTCAAATGTTCTCTACAACCTTTTGGGCCCAGAGATTACTTACAAAAAATATTAAAGTTGAACTTAAATTTTATATCTCTACTCTGTGAAAGACGCTTTGAAAGGATTGCTCAAATATTTTTTGAAATAGCGCATGATGTACGTACAGGGTTACCCACAAAGGATAAGACTGTAAAGACGACCTGAAACTCATAAAATATGAAGATTACGAGGTTAAATTAAATCTTCTGCCTCGAGTATTGTCTTTAAATGGCCTATTTATTGACATGGCAACGGAATAAACCAGTTTACAATCGCAGAGAATCCTAAGTATAAGGAAACAGACAATAAAAATCTGTACAGTCGTCTTAGAAGTCTCATCCTTTGTGGGTAACCCTGTATGTTAATCTATTCATACTTTGCTTGTCTGTTTACGTCCTACAGAGCATATATTGTAATGAACTATAAAATATCTATTTTTCTCTATGACTCTAGTACGTAGGAAACTGTTACCCTGAATATTTCTAAAAATAAACCAGAGCAATTATCTGTGTTAAATTTTCTAATTAAGTTGTTGTTACCTAAACCTTATTCATCTAAATTAGTATTTAGAGCAGGGCCAATTATAAACAATTCGTCAGGTGCAATCCCCCCCCCTTTATATGTATCTAACTATCTTTCTATATATCTATCTATCTTCCTTTCCTTTCCTTTTCCTTTGATTTCTTTTTTTTATATTCCTTTAGAATTGGGGGGAAATATTCTCACAACCTCTATTTTTGGAGGTTTTAAAATATTTTCTCCTGAAACACTTAATTTTGTATGTTATTGTTATACTAGAAATTCAGGGCGCTTCGCACCCTTCTTTCTTGGCTTTTACGGCGCTTCGCGCCCATCTTCTATTTCAACTTTTAATTAAGGCTTTATCCCTGAACATCTCTTTGTACAGTATAAAACAAAAACAAAAAAAGTTTGCGGATTTCATAATATTTTTTTGCGCATTTTCAAAATTTTCAAAAATAAAAAGTTTTTAAACATTATTTTTAAAATTTTGATCATTCATAAACCTTCCCTGGGGTCACGTGAGGTCCCACAAAAACATTGGGCCCGATCGGTTCAGCCGTTTTGACGTTTATTGGATACAAACAAACAAACAAACAGACAAACAGACAGACAATCCAAATTTATATATAGATTTCATAATAAATAAATAAAAATGATTACTCTAATTTAGTTGATATATCTATCTATTTATTTATCTCTCTATCTATCTATCTGTCTGTCTATCTATTTATCTTTACAAAACTTCTATTTATATTCCTGTAAAAGATATATAAAAGGACTTAGGAACGAATTGAATTAAGGTTTTGTGTAGGTTTAGCTCTGCAGTGTACAATAATCATCCTTCTATATTTCTGCTTTTATCTAAAAACATGTTCTGCCCTACAGTTTAAGACACTAAAAAAATTTGCAGATTTTATTATTTTATTCGTAATTTTCATACCTTTTCCAGGGAATATTATTCAATCTTGAACATCAAAAATTAGAGGGGGGGGGATTTTTCAAGCTGAAAAAAACTATTTTCAATCTCACAAATCAAGAAGTTTTTCTTCGACTATGTTTCCCAGTTGTAAATCAAAATAAATGCAATGTGGCATCAGCGCTCGGCATCACAGCCTTTCTTAGCCCATGCGGCTGCATGAAACACGAATCTGCATGTAAAATGTTTAAACCCAGCCTAAATATATTGGTTTCATATTTTTTCTGCGTTATGTTTTTATTTTGAAATTTCACAATTCGATGTTTTTAACAATTTGATGAGCTCCCCGGTATACAAGTGAATAGCGTGTTAAGATCATTAAAGATCTGTTAAAAATATAGATAGATAGATAGATAGATAGATAGATAGATAGATAGATAGATAGATAGATAGATAGATAGATAGATAGATAGATAGATAGATAGATAAGACAAGACAAGACAAGACAAGACAAGACAAGAAAAGGCAAAAACAGGACAAGACAAGACAAGAATAGACGATATAATACAAGACAAGACAAACAAGAATAGACAATACAAGACAAGAATAGACAGTAAAAGACAAGACAATGCAAGAATAGACAAGACAAGAATAGACAGTATAAGACAAGACAATACAAGAATAGACAATAAAAGAATAGACAAGACAAGACAAGAAAAGACAATATAAGACAAGACAAAACAAGAATAGACAATAAAATAATAGACAATAAAAGCATATACAAGACAAGATTAGACAAGGCAAGACAAGAATAGACAATATAAAACAAGAAAATACAAGAATAGACAAGGAAAGAATAGACAATACAAGACAAGACATTACAAGACAAGACAATACAAGACAAGACAATATAAGAATAGACAAGTAAAGAATGGACAAGACAAGAATAGACAAGACAGGAATAGACAAGACAGGAATAGACAAGACAATAATAGACAAGACTAGAATAGACAAGACAAGAATAGACAAGACAAGAGTAGACAAGAATATATAGAAAATACAAGAATATACAATACATGAATAGAAAAGCAAAGACACCAAAACAAGACAAGAAAAGGCAAAAATAAAAAAATAATAAATATAAATAATAAAAAAAATAAGAGAGATATACATAAGATTAAGACGATTAAGACATAGTCAGGACAAGACAAGAATAGACGATACAATACAAGTCAAGACAAACAAGAATAGACACTATAAGACAAAAAATACAAGAATAGACACTATAAGACAAAAAATACAAGAATTAACAAGACAATATTAGACAAGACAAGACAAGAATAGATAATATAAGGCAAGACAAGACAAGAATAAACAATAAAAGAATAGACAATAAAAGAATAGACAAAATAAGAAAAGAACATACAAGACAAGAAAATACAAGACAAGACAAGACAAGACAAAAATAGACAAAAGAAGATAAGACTAAACAAGACAAGAATAGACAAAACAAGAATAGACAAGAATAAATAGAAAATACAAGAATAGACAAGAATGAAAAGAAAATACAAGAATAGACTATACATGAATAGAAAAGCAAAGACACAAATTTCCGCTAGTACTCGCTTTACATTCGGTCAGAGTACTTCAACTCACTGCATCAGTTCACATAGAAAGCTTAGTTTAGGGTGACGACACGATCGAGAAAATAAAAATATAAAATATAACCCGGAATATACAAGACAAGTGTGAAACAAGGACTAAAAACATAACGAAAATTATCCCAACCCGGGCCTTTTTATTTGCAAAAAATCCCCACAATATTAAATGCAAATTATGTAATAAAGTCTTCAAGTTTATTTAACGTTTAAACAATTGTGACCTCTAATTTAATTCCGGCATTATATTAGCCGGAATTAATTGTAAAAATGTTGAACTGCAAACTTGTATTTATGCATTATAATTATATTCCAACCAAAACCACAGGAACTGATAAAGATTTATGTGTTCGATTTTCAATTTGATTTAAAACAATAAATATTTGGAATTAAATCAGTCCCCCCTCCCTTCTTCCCCCCGGGGATCAAATGTTTGATCATTAGTTAATGTTTTTACTGCGGTGAGGCCCCCTTTCCAAGCCTGGTAATTGAGTAAAATATCATGAATTAATTGAACACGACACAAATCTCATTAACCGCAATTTTTCAATCTCCAGTCACCAATAAATGCGGGAACAAGGTTTGGAGTGCCGCTGCGCTCCTATTGGTCGAAGTAACGACCAATGAGAGAGCGAGACCGATTAGGAACGGAAGCGGGGTGTGTTGAAAGATTGGGCCATATCATGGGCATTCAGTTCACTCAATTGTGCTCGGCTGCTCACACGCCATCAGCCATCTTGCCAAATATTTAGCAAACTAATTTGCATTGGTCAGCTGTCTGCAAAATTTTAATTACGTGTCAGAAAATATCTGCAAGAACAACCGGAAAAAAAATTGAAAAATTGGTTTTAAAATAGAAATGAAAAGCCCGCAAGGAAACTAGACTTGTTTACTGTACACAATGATGAAGATGCAATCGCGGATTTCCTTCAGCGTAGATTCCTTGCTCGGCAGGAAGACGACAGAAACTGATATTAAACCTAGAATCCTTCACTCAGTCTTCACGGAGCTAGAGGATAAACAGGAGGACAGGAGGGCAGAGGAGGACAGGAGGAGAGATGAGGAGGACAGACTAAGAGCTGAGGACGAGATGAGAAGAAGAATGGAGGACAAAGATGAATCCAAGGATGATATAAAAGAAGAGACTGAAAGTGAGGATGATCTATGCGTGGATGATGAGGATGAGGATGAGAATCAAACATCTTCTCCATCCCCGCCAATCCATCCTCATCCCATCATGCCCACACCCTTATTAGGGCGTGGCATGCCTGGGTTGGCCAACCTCCTGAGACCAGGCTGGCCTGGACATCTTCCTTTCACAAACCAGTCATTGTTTGATAAAGGTGACTTTTTTCCACCATTTTTTATTATTCCTATTTTCCTTCACTTATAAACCCTCAAATTTTTTCTTTAGAATACTAATATTTTTAAAGTTTTTCTTTTAATAAGTACATGAAAATAAAAATTATTAAACTTTTTCCTTCTCCATGCATCACATTAATATTTGCAAATTTGTGCAAATTTGTGCAAATTATGTGCAGGGCTTAATTGCCATCTATGTTGCGTGAGCAAACACCAATATTAAACGTTAAAAAGAAATATGTCATAAATATTTGATTTCAGTTATAATTTTTAAATAAAGTTATAAAACGGGAAAGGTTTTTCATGTTAAGTCATTAAAGTATGAATTAGTTAATTTTTTAGTATTGATAATGGTCTAATATTAGTTTTAATAACTTATTGGTATAAAAAATCATTTATAAATATTCATAAAAATAAAGATAACATGGTAATAAATAACATTAAATAGTAATTACCATATGATGATAATAATGTTAGATATAACTTTCATAAAATGATCAAAGGCCGGATTTTATGAAAAGTGAATAGTGGGACTATGTACGGCTAGTTAAACTACTTATTTAGTGAATTTTCGGGTACACTATAGACGTAGTTCAATTATTCGTTCGTAGTTCTGATACTTCTTGCTATTCCTCCATAATGTGTACGTATATAGTTAATGAATAATTATTTTTTAGATATGACTTTACGAGCTCCTACAGGACCTATCCGTTGCACCTTGAGAAAACATAAACCGAACCGTAAACCCCGGACCCCCTTCACCACCCAGCAGTTGAACGACTTGGAGAAGAAGTACAGAGAGAAACAGTATCTATCTATCTCAGAACGAGCAGAGTTTTCAAATGAGTTGAAATTAACTGAAACCCAGGTAAACATTGTTATTATTATTATTATTATTGTTGTTATCATTATTATTATTATTATTATTATTATTATTATTATATTATTAAGATCTGGTTCCAGAATCGGCGAGCTAAGACTAAACGTCTCCAAGAATCTGAGATGGAACGGATCAGAATTTCTTCAATGCCCATGATGCCCCGACCCTACGGTATACCACACTCCTTACTCCAGGGTATGCAGAACCCTGCCTCATCCATAGCAGCTTCCTTTCTACCACATTTCTTGAATCATAACAAACCTTGACAGCTAACAGCTGACAGGGAATATTAACAACAGCAACTGTCACATGAAGCTCCGCTGTTAATATCTGTCATGAAGTTACCATGCTGACTAATCTGATACCCAAAGCCTTGCCTAAAACTTAAAAGTCTCTATAATTCCTTACCTTTAAGTCTATGTCCCCATCCCCCTCCGCCTTAAAAAAGTAAAAAAAAAAAACGTCGCTAAAAGTCCGTTTAAGTCTCAATCCCAGAGCTTGCGCGTAAAGACTCCGAAGCTAGCTCAAAGTCTCAAAACTTTGGATAAAAGTCCTTAGTACAATTACAGGGTGTCCCACTAAAACATGAAAGTTCAGAGACAACTTAACGGTCATATTTGATCTTTGATAGCTATTCTTAACTTGAAAAAGATTGTTGAACAACCTTTTGTGACACTTTGTCATAAGATACGACTCTGAATTGTGATATTTAACAGGACACCCTGTAGTTGATATAATTATAAAGTCTCCTGGACAAAACGGAGCATAAATGACCGGCTGTGAAATCTGTGTAAATTTAAAAAAATGAAAATGTGAATTTAAAAATAAGCTTTACTGTGCCCCTAACTAGTTAGAAAATATATAGTTCTTTAAACAAACTTTTTTTATGATAGAGAAACTAATTTTATTCATCATACTATATATATCATAAATCATACTATCTATTATACATCATACTATCTATTATACATCATACTATCTATATCATACTATCTATTATACATCATACTATCTATTATACATCATACTATCTATTATACATCATACTATCTTGAAGTAGCAAAGCTTGAAAGGGTGAAGAGCAAGCACTTAGATCCAGACATAGAAGAGTGGCATCAATTTTAATGACTGCAGGGTCGACTTTGAAGTGTCGTAACACCTTGGCCTTTGTTATTACATCACTAACTCATTTAAACTTTTTTCAAGGCCGTAAAACATGGATTTTTAATAACTGTAAGCACTTATTTTCAGCTTTTCTTATTAAAAATTATTTTGCAAGATATTCAAAGATTTTTTGGTTTGCACTTGTAACTTTTGGATCACTGTGCAAGCGGGGTTTTTTTTTACTGCCCATGCTGTTGGAAATACAGTGAAATTTATTTGCACTTTTTAACACTTAATCCAATCCTTATTTAACAAGAAAAATAAAGTATTGATAAGATTTCTCCCACTAAAACTTGAAAAACAATTTTAGGTCATTCGATCATTTTTTCTGGAAATTGAGAATTAAGGCCTGACATGATGACATCTGTTTTAAAGATCTGACGTTCGAGAACTCCAAAGTTTTGATTATTTCCTAAAATAATTTTAAAACTTAAGGATTAGTTGGACCGATTATTGTACTGTTAAAAAAAGTAGTTTTTTTTTATTTCAGTTTCTATTTTATAATCTTACATTTGTGCAAGGGGTCGTATATTAAAAAAAATTTAGTGAGTCTTAAAATAAAATTTAAAATGTCCTCGAACTTTAATTAAGGCTTTTTAAAATCAGCTTTTTAAATTATAAATGGAAATAACTGAAGTAAAACAGTAAGAATTGTGGTGATCTTTTATATTCTGACAAAGTTCCAAATATCTCCAAGAATCTTTAAGAAAAACTAAATTTTGTAATTCTGAAAGTTTGGGTTATAGTAATGGTTCCTGTCACGTAATTCCAAGATGAATTAAAGTATGTGTTTTGAAACTCCCTGTATCTCAGACTAAAGGGGCCTCTTTCAGGTTATCCTTGAAACTGTAGAGACATCTTGACATTAGATATGATTGATATTCATATATATATATATAGGTTGCTATATCTTATAGATATATATATAGAAATGGATAGATAGATAAATAAATAGATAGATAGATATAAAGATAGATAGATAGATAGATAGATAGATAGATAGATAAATAGATAGATAAATGGATAGATAGATAGATATATAGAAAGATAGATAGATAGATTGTTGATAGATAGATAGATAAATGGATAGATAGATAAATAGATAGATAGATAGATAGATAGATAAATGGATAGATAGATAGATAGATATATAGATAGATATATTATATAGATAGATAGATAAATGGATAGATAGATAAATGGATAGATAGATAGTTAGATAGATAGATAGATAGATAGATAGATAGATAGATAGATAGATAGATAGATAGATAGATAGATAGATAGATAGATAGATAGNCCCCCCCCCCCTAGATGTCTGTTTATTATTTGTGTTATTGTTTACAATCTTTATTATTGTTGTTACGCAAGAACTAGTTCTTCAGCAGTCCAAAAACGTCACAGCAAAGTGTACGGAAACCCTATCGCCATCTCCTTCTATTCAATATCTCCTTGACTTATACAATGCTTTAAAATAAAATACTTATTTGAATTTGAAAAAGAAAGAAACAAGTTTACAGTTGCAGGAATGATCTTTAATAATCGTGTATCTGTATTTTGTATCATGTTTCCCACATTTTCTGAAATAAACATTTTACTATCGATTTTGAAATGTTTCCCTTTAAATGAATGCATGATAGTTGTAAATACAAAATTCGTCTAATTGTGACAGTTTTGTTTGATTTAGTTTAATATTACTCAGCTTTTGTTTGGTCAATACTAAATCAATATTCTACAAATCAAAATTAGAATATAATAATTGACTAAAGTTGTGATTCCAGATTTTAAAAACAAACTTTTTTAATGTTCTTGATGTATCATCTAATTAAAGTAAAATTGCATATAAGAATATATATTTTTAATTAGAACTTTTCTTATAAAATAAAATTTAAAGTCATACCAGTAAAGTTGCATAAATTTAAACTTCTCCTTCTATCAAGTTTCCATTGAAGTAAAGATTATAGGCAGTTTTCTGATTTCTGAAAAATAAAACAGTTCAACACTTCTTTCTCACAGAACTAGTTCATCTGTTCTCTTCTCTAATGAAGACTTCATAGACTTCCCTTG